TCTTAAACTTAGCCATATGGCAGTGCATCCCTTTTTAATGAAATGAAAAATGTTTTCAAATATTAGAGAGCTGAAACATCTGTAGAAAATGGATTTGATAAAGACACAATTGGCTTTTAGTTACTTTGCATGTATTTCAGTCATTAAATAATATCACAACTTGGGTTCCCTATACATGTACATCAAGACCTTTATTCCTGACTCTAGGCACGACAGGAGGTTCTGCGACAAATAGCCGAAGACAGGGTCAACAGGAGTAGCAGGAAGGTAACCAAACCTGCATCTACTCTGTCTTCCACAACTCAAATGGCAAGCAGCAGCAGAGAACATAAACAATGTTTACAGCACAGTAAACAGTGCTTGCTTCAGGTGAATGTTTACAGAGTACTTCCCTAAAATTGAAAAGACATTAAATGTAGAAGGCACCTATGACCTAAGTAGGCATCTTTGCTGGTGTTACTATGAAATTCAGTTCAGTTACATGTATAACTCTGTCCAGTTTTACGTTTTGGTCCTTCTGTTTACTAACCAAAAAATATTTGGGTTATAAGTTACCTCCTCCTCCTCCTCCCACCTACACCACCAACACTTTCTAAGTTTCTTGTGTTCTTCAAGGAGGAGTTGATACAACTTGAAGTTTGTTTTCAAATGCAGTTATTGAGCAAACATGACTCTACTTGTAAAATTAGCCTTAACTTGCTTCTTATCGGAATGCGGTTAAATTAAATAATAAACCTGCCCAAAGTGCTTTATAAGTAGCTGAATAAGCCCAGGGTTTTTGCATGAAATTTTTTGAAACTTTTCATTGTGCTGCATTGATCAGGTCTTTCATACGACCAACATGTTTGAGGAGTTTAAATCCCAGGGCCCGTTGTAAGCTCTTACAGCTTCTTGTATAATATTAAAAAAACTATTGTCACATTCCTGTATTTATCTCACTTTACATCCAGACTTTAAGGTCTTTCAAAAGACATACATATCCTCCAAAATGTTAAGCACAATGCTTCCTAAGGCTGTTGACCAAACTCACTCTCATAAACACTGCAAATGCCAGTCATGTATCGTCATCATCATTGTATCATTTCCAATTTACTCACTGTAGATAAGAGGTCCAACTGGGCATGTGCAGAGACAAACATTTGCCCCTGATGCCAAACTTCAAGATGTTGTGACTTTTATCTGTGGCCAGTATCACCTGAGCTCAGATAACTTTGAGCTTTTGCAGGTACATCATTATAGTGATACAGTAAATGACACCCTGATGTGTCCAGTTTAGCAACTCAGAGTAGGTGACTTTATGACAGGACCTCAAGAAGGTGGAGTAAACAAGAGGTATAATTATTTTGTGTGATGTTGTTTGAGAGGGGCAAGGCTTGGAGTTCTCCTAATCATGTTACAGTCTATATGGATATCTGAGATCGTCAGAGGGAATGAAACTTTCTCAAAGTGCAGAACCCCTTTTCTTTCTGTAATTATCAGTTTCATTTGGCTTCACAGCCATTTCCCCACAGGCTGTTCACTGACGCAGAATTGACAACAACATTAGTGGAGCTTGGACTTAGTGCAGGGGGTTCACTTGTGGTGAAGAAGAGAGATGTCAATCCACCGTCTTCATTGTCTGGTAAGGCTGATGTTTTTCTTCTCTACAGTCATTGTCCTTTTTATTATTCTATTTCAACTGTTGAAGATGCAGTGGCTTAATAATTAGCATACTGGAATCTGAATTGAGTGGCCAAGTTCCAATCTATTGTGTGTTTTTTTCGGTGGGGATTAGGGTGGGATATGACCAGTGTGCAAGGAAAGTTGTGCCTGATAGCCTGGAACTTATGGATTTTGTCTGTCACTTGAAATTTGTGAAATTTCTTGGGAAAAGTTTGAGGAAATTCAAATTAGAGATGAAATATTTTGGGGCTAGCTAGTGAAAATGATTTTCAGGCTACTACATCATAGTTAAAGCTTACCTGAAGGGTAAGCCTAAACATTCTTTGTACCCTGATGACAGGCTAGCATCATCACCAAGACAGAAGAGAAATGTACCTAATCACTCTATGCTAATGAACCAGCATAAGGGCCACCTGGTCTGATGCAGACTTTCCTATGTGCATTATGGTTTATTCAATAGGCCATTTCTGAGTTACCTTGTACCTCTGTGTCAAAATGAGTCTTAGTGTGAAACCAATCAATATTATATGAAAATGTGTTCTGCCTGCACATTCATTTTCATGCAAATCAAACTCATTTTCGTATGAAGGTTTTTGCATGAAGACTCATTTTGAAACCGAGGCACACGGTAATTTGGGAATGGCCTATTTCATGTTGGGAACTTATTTTGGGAACAAATTTCTCAGTCAGTTACCTAGCTTATGAAAATAAAAGAACTTACAATCTGATTACAGTGATGCTTGCAATTTGAGAAAAAAAATTCCCTAAAACAACCTCTAAAACCCTAAATCTGTAGGCCAGGCATCTGCTGAACTCAATCCACAAGATGGTTGTGCTACGACATCAAGAATGGCAAACAGACCTGAGAATACTGGTGGGCTACCATCAAACCCTTGTCCTGACAGAGAGGACAATGTTTCTTCCCATGGAAACGATGCTACTGGCAATGCTGATGATGCTCAAGAAGAGCAGGAAGATGCTGATCCCCCAGTATTTGATAGAAGTCCACCACCAGAGTTAGAAGATCACCTGAGAGTACCTTTAGAAGGACTGAATCCAAATATCCTTGGTGTAGGCGGAATGCAGAATTTTGTTGCTAGGGGACATGGTCACATGTGGGGGGAAGGAGTAAGACTCGGTGCTGTTCAACATAATCCACATGTGATTGATCCAGTTCTGAGAGCACAAACCCCAGGGGAGTCTGCTGTTAGGAGATTGGAAATGCGACAGCAGCAACAGCTTCAACCAGAAGCAGGTATTGAACGCTTGCCTTGATTATCATACACAAATCCTTGTTACCTAGGGAAATACAGGGCTTTCCACTTTTCAAGTTGGTAAAATTTACCCCTCTGGCTTGCGATGTGCAAAGGATGGATAATGGTATCCATTAGGTAAATTGCCAACCAGTGGATAAATGTTAAGAAAACACATTTATTTACCATATCCAGTGGATAGTGATTTATCTCATGGAGAATGTTGTCCACCGTTTGAACAACTGAGCCATGCAGGTAACTTGACGTGGAGTGACTGAGAACATAGAGATGCCAAAACTGACTCAAGCAGGTATTTGAGGTGCATCTAAATGGCTCAATAGAAATTCAGCAAACCCATTGCAGTTGTTCAGGACAAAGTTAATTATTTCATAGAATAATCGTATTTTGGCAGGGAAATCAATTTAATAGTACTCACTGGACATTTGCTGGTGTTGTTGTTCTCTACCTGGTGAAATGAGGCACTACATATTAGGTATACTATCATTCCATGAGATACTCATTGGGTTATTCTTTAATTCTTCTTGAGGACCTAGTCAAGTAACTCAAGAAGAGCAGCCCCAACTCCATCGTGACGTTCAACGTCTGGAAGACCTGTGTATCAACCACATCAGCCATCGGCTCCCTGGGCATCAGAACCCAATTTCTACCGTTGGCATGTTACCACATGATCTGTGTGACAAGATCTTGACTCATCTCATGAAGAATAAAACACTTACTCCCAAAGCAATGCAGGCATTTATCCCCTGGTAAGCCAAGTCTTTAGGGACCTGTTTTGAAGGGGAAGGGGCAAACCATGTGGGGTTTTATTATGTCTGGACGAGATTTAATTACAGTTGAACCTTTACTAAGCTTTCACCTATTAAGTGACCACCCCTGATTAAGCAACCAGTTATACAAGTCTCAAAATTGTTGTCAGTGAAGTATTGTGAATAAAACCCTTATTAACAAGCCACCTCTATTAAGTGGCCATGGCCACTTACTAAGCCTTGCACTAATTCCTGACAAACTGGTATAAAGTGGCCAACCTTATTAAGCAGGCACCTCCCATTTCCGCGAGGGTGGCTGCTTGATAGGGGTACAGTTGTAGCTTAGAAATGCGGTAAAATTAACAAATAGATTCCATGTTGCCATGCTTCTGTTCGGTAATTGATCACAGATGATGTCACTGATGTTCTCATCTCTTCTAGTATTCATGATAGTGTTTACTATCAATAGTAACTTATACATTGTGTGTTAAATAATGTTTAATAACTTATACATCTTGTGTCCAGTGGTCTGCGGCATGTGAAGTTGGATTGCTACTCTCTGGTAACTAATGAGCTCCTGATAGCACTTAGGTAAACTACATAACAGTTAGAAATTGATTTTTAATGTTGTGCAGGCAAAACAGGGGAAGTGTTACCCACCAATAAAGGATATACCGGTATATGCAGGGCTGTCAATAAGGGCAGTAACCTGTAACACCTGTTATGGCTGAGTATGTTTGATGGACCCTTGATGTTACGGGTGAACTGGTCTGTAGTTGATACAATTCACCCATAAATTAACAAGTTTGCTACAGGTGTAAAGATCAAGGCTATAGGTGAATTAAAACTTAATAACAACCCTGATATGACTGGAAATTTGGTTTTATTCTTTGCTTCAGTGAGTCATTCCTAAAAATATCAATAGTTCCACAACTTAAATTCAAAACTTTTGATTGTCAAAGGGATTTTTATGAGAAATGGAAAGTATCCTTTGCTTGCACAAAAATGAAAACAACAACAACATTTTTGAAAATGAAAATGAAAACAACAACAACATTTTTTGTTTGTCATTTCTCTTCACCACTAAAATGAGTTACCTCTGAATGACCAGGAACTGTTTCTTTTTAATGCAGATTGCACAGACACCTCACACACCTCAGTTTGAGAGCTTGTCCTCTCATAACAGACAAAGCACTGGAAGCAGTGGCAGGTAAATAACTCTTTATCCCTAGTTATAATCATGTGTAACCTTATTTTCTCAAAATCACAAAAAGTAGATGTGACAAAAAAGAAAAGTTGAATTATTCAAACTGATTGAAAATAACTTGAACGAGATGTCAAAAAATGCTCAAAATTCACAAAGATGAAGTGTTGTGAAATTAAGTAGTTTCCAACACTTTATTAGTCTTGAAATTAACAAAGCTCCCCTCCATAGGTAATCTTTCTCTGTATAGAACCCCCACTCCCATATTTAACTCCCCAGTGTAAGTATCCCCATATAGGCAACACTCGGGAACATTTCAAAATTACTCATAAGGTGCACTTAATACAGGGAGGGGGCCTATTTATATTATATTTTTATTTCTCAAAGAGGTGGGCTTATTTTATTAGGACGGGCCTAAATAGAGAAAATATAGTGTATTTATAATGACCCCTATGAATAACACCTCTCTCATGTACATGTATAGCCTGCAATATGTGTACATCATTCTTTCTTATAAGGTCTCTCACAATTTATACCTTAAAATAGTTACTGGAGAATGTTCCCATCATTGGGTAGTGAATATACTAAATGCAGTGTTGACAATAACCTGTGAATAGTTCTTTTTCTTTTATCTTACAGTTCTTAAGAGACTCAAATCACTTAATATAAATCAGTGTTCCCAGCTTACAGACAAGTGCTTTTTCCACATAAAGGGTAAGCAAAAGGAGCTTTTTTAAATTACTGGCAACATTTTTTTACCTTTTCCATCCTCAAGATTATTGGTACATACAAGTCAAAAATATTCTGTTATTCTTTATTTCAATTCAGTCTTGAATTGGGTTGAGCTTGCAACAAAGGATGTTTGGTCTTCTTTCAATACCTATCATCAAAGTTTAGCTTCCTGTGCTCAGTGAAAGGTAGTTTTGTATCCTTATGGTAATTTTTTGCTTCCCATACAGAACTTCCATCACTAGTGACATTACAGATGGACATGACAAAAGTAAGACAACTTTAAGTTAGTCATCTAGTAATTTTATCTTTATTTACATAGTTTGTATCACATGCACTATAAGTCTCTTCAACGCTGAGATATTGCATGCCGTATTTCATTTTTCAATCATATCCTGTCACATTTGTATCTGTCCTCCAAATGTCTGTAATGTATTTCAAGTTTGAAGTATTCACTTGCAGATAACTGATAGAGGAGTTTGCCATTTTTTGGAGAATGCTACATGTTGTCCCTACTTGGTGCATTTAAGTTTCAGTGGGACGTGTATCACAGATGGCAGTTTGGCAGCCATGTCTGGTTAGTGTTCATTCATAAGTCAGACTACATCTTGAGGAGTGTTAATGTAATTTCTGATAATTGAGAAATGAATTAGTCAGAAATTATTATTTTGGCAGGACAATGTAGAGGCATGCAGGGTGTCATGGGACATTTTGGAACTATTTACAATAGGCTTTTGGCATGAAATTCAGGTCGTTCTAGGTCAGTCAGTCTTCGTGTTCGTCCACATTTTTGTATTAAGCTTTTATTATAACAGCTTGTATGTTTACTTATGAAATGTTTCGTTATAAAATGTCCTAACTTATTGATTTTGTACCCTTTCCTCGGGGTCTCATGCTGTTGCACAAGATGCAGAATACATTTCCACATAATTTTTGGCCACATCTAAAGAATGTTTTTAGTGGCTTTCCGCATCTGGTTTAGCACAGGTTCTTCATTATTGTTAGCGCCAATAGTTGTAATTTGCAAGGATACAGATTGATCTTATTAGATGGAAAACATCTGCATCAGATGACTGACTGAAGCATCCTCAATAGACATTGAATGTCTCATATGTTAGTGCAGTCAGAATTTGTAATTTTGATCCATTTGGTTATTAATAATATTTTGATTATAGGCCTCAAAACCCTCAAGATTCTTGCTGTCAGCAGTACAAAGGTATGATAAAACTTTTGACAAAAATGTCTACTTAAAAAACGTTCAATTACCTGACTATGCTTTAAACACTTCCCTAGTCATGACAAATAAATCCAGCTATGTTCGTTTTTGATGTGGCATTGATAAAATCTACCACTCACTGCCAGGTTTTGCTGCTGGCAGGTTTTGCAGTCTGTGATCCTGTGAATAGCTTGGAGTAATTGGGTGCTTACCATTTAGCCAAAGTAATCCAGAAATAACGGTTGAAAGTCAATTGGAACGGTAATTTTCCGGACAATCTGTTTCAGAAATTATAGACTACCTCAAGAGGTAGTCCTCTGTTTCCATTTGGAATGGAGCAGTGGAAATTTCCTTACCATTTGCTAAATTTTCCAATCTCCAGTCTCTCAACTACCTAAATATAATATTACATTAAATCAAATTGAAATGGTAAGTGCCATCTTGTTCGGTTGGTGTGCTGATTTTGGAAAAACTCTTACCATTATTCAATGGTCATTCCCAATCAGTTTATTCTGACAAACAGTTTAAAGGTACCCATTATTTTGTTACTTGGGTAACCAGTGAACTGTTGGGGTAGCCTGCTACTGGAGGGGAGCTCAAGGGAAATGGTAACCAGATCACATGCAAGTGAAAAGTTCAAGTTGTTGTTTCCCAAGGGAGTTAGTGATATTTTTCACCTTAAGGAGTTAGGGAGTTTTGACCCAATTGGAAATTACATTTGAGTTGGGAGGTATAACAGTCCTAGTTATCCTAGTATGTAAACTGAGAGAAGTTCCAGCAGTGTGAGAGATACTGGCCAATATGCAGACTTTTTCTTAGCAATAATTAGCTAGGCCTACTTTACAGTGTCTGCCAATATGTGCAGCTAAATATTTACTTATTTAATAGATCACTTCGCTGGATGTTGTGCATCACTTAGACCAGTTGGAAAGTCTGAATGTCTCACACTGTACAGCAATACATGACAGCAGTTTGACAGCTCTGACAAATCATCCATCACTTATGTCACTCAATCTACTCTCAACAAATATTTTTGACGATGGACTCTGTCATCTCCAAGGTAACATCAAAGCTTCTAAATTATTTGAATAGAGAACTTCAAGCATCAAGAGGCAATCAACAGTTTCAGTTTTTCTCAGTATAAACATATTTTACTTCCTCCTAGTGTGCTTATGTGTGCTTTTTTTCTGTTTTCCCTTTCACTTCTGAGCTAGGTTGTTTGAAAGCCAGTTAGCCCTAAACCAGAATTGAAAGTTAACTGAAGTATTAATTTTTCTTGTGTAAAAATGCTTTTCACTGCTTATGTTTTATGTAGTTTGAAATTAGTGAAACTAAAAACTGAAGTGCAAACAATAAAAACAGAAAACTTCACAGAAAAGTTGCAAAACTCAAAATATCAAAATCCTCGTTAATCC